TTTCCAATACAGAGATATTGAATAAATTTGTGGCGGGGGAATGTTATGCACTGCATGTACCCCACGTCGAGGAAAAGTTGGGGGAATTGAGGCAAGGTGTTCGTCGGAGCTTTGACAATATTGGAGGCATTTTGAGGGTGATATGGTAAATCAGAATCTTATGAAAAGGATTTGATGAGTAGCCATAATAATTAATCAACACGACACCCTTTAGCCAGCTCTATCGGCCGGAAAAAGATTGGTAATGTGTGTGATGTGAATCGTGATTATTATACCCCCATCAATATATAATGGATCTTTGACTGTTTGTACAAGTGTTCTCACAAGCAACTTAACATCAGAATTTACGCTTATTATAAAAGTTCTTAGTATCAGATAAAAGCAAGAGAGCTTAAATGTTATCTCCGTTTGCTGGCTTGGTGACATTAATAGGGAATAAAAATTCCATACAAATTGTTAATGAAAAACAAATATTTTTTATGTATTATTAATAAGATAAAAAATATAACAAATCATTTAAAAAACTTTTTATATACCTATAAATATAAAAAAATGATTATAAAAAATGATTATCTATGACATTTGATGTAATTATAATAGAGTTCATAATTCTGAATTTCTAAGATTAATTGAACTTCAAACCTAAATAAAAGAAAAAATGAATGTGAATGTTCATAAAAAATTATAATAACTTGGATTCAGTGAATGTTCTAACGAATTTGATATCTTGTCAAACTCAAGTTGTATTGAGTTAAGCTAACAGTTAAATCTAAGTATATATAACCTGACAACTTACTAAACTCACGATGTGTTAAGTTCAGTAAATAACTAAATCCAAGTATATTGAATCTAACAACTTATTAAACTTATATTATTTTGAGTTCAGTCGTGATTAAAATTTATTAAGTTTAAGTTTAACAACTTGCCGATTCATATTATCTTTGATTGTTAATGCAAAAATAGAGTCAACACAAGGGACTCATCAATTGGATTACAAGATTAATAAGAATATAAAACACATTGAATCAACACTAACCAGCATCTTCAATATTTATCCATCGCTAGTAATACAATGGAAGCAACAATATCCTAGTTTGACTGGCATTCAGGAGATTTGCTAGACAAGTTAAAAAACCACACAACAAGGTGAAGTACTTAAACACAGCCCCAACAGGCAGGATAAAATACAAGGAATAATTAACGGGTTGACGACCTGTCTAACTGTGGATCCATTGGATCCAAGAACAATTGTTAAAATCCCTATTTTGAACGAGTAAAGGTTCGATCTAGTATCGTTAAAAATTTCTTCAGCACATATCAAGTAGTTTAGAAAACCAACCCAACAGGTTATAATAATGTACAAATATAACGATTGCCCTCGCGATGTCCGTAACAGTCATGCAAATGAGAAGCCACTACCATGACAATTAAAATATATTCAGTAACACACCAAGCATCTTTTGTTTAGATTAGAGCATATGCGTTGGGCTCTACATCGAATACATAAATGCTCAAATCTGATTTGAAAACGTACCAACCTTCAATACAACAATAGTACAACGTGATGTCAAGCATTGGTAATTGACCAATTTAGAAATAATTTAGTTTCAATGTGAAATAATATACTCCAAGATGCCTTTATCCATTAAAAGGAAAAATATATTCAATGGGCACAAACTTGTTTAACAAGGCCATTTTAAAATTGATGCAAGCAAGCACACCATCAACAATGTAAGCATATAAAAAATTGGTAAATTTTTTATTCTTAAGAGAGAATAAATTTATTTATAAACCATAGCGCAAGGCTATTCAGCTTTTCTTCCCCTAAAAAGTAAGGCAATTCAACTTTGCATGTTAACACAACACGAAAAGGTAAGGTACAAACGCTACATGTTTGATATGTCAATAAATGTCAATATTTTGACTACAAAGTTATCCAACAACATATTCATATTTATTATTCACAAAATTGCATTACTTTTAGGCAATCCACTCACCAAACTCAGAATTCAGGCTATGTATTTGTTGGAGCTCTGAGAGTGCAGGCAATTGTGTGACATCATAACTCAGAAAGACTAGAAAAGTAACAACATTAACGGGCTGACCTGCCAATCCGTGGATTCCATGCTCATCACATCTGCTGAAGAAGATGTTTTCGTTTCCAAACCTTTGCAACTTGCAACATGATGACAAAGTTGACGACATTAAAAAGACAAAGCAATTTCCATATATCTGATGTTTAGCTAGTTGCTAACAGTCAAGTACCATTTAGCAATGATGACTTGTGTAACATTTCTACTTGCCTTGTTTTTTTTTTATCATAATTTCTCTTTACCTATTTTATCTTCCATCAACATTCTTCCTCCTTTAGTGGTGTGTGAGTGTGTGGATGAAAAATATAATCCACCATGAGGTAAAACTGTGATTGAGATAATTAGAAAATATTATTGACACAAGAAATATTTAGTTTACAGCAGTTTCTGGGTTACATGTATGGAGATGGGGAAGTTTCATTCTATGAACTAACTAATACACAAACATGGCACTTATTACAAATTAATTTTCTTACCATTGAACCCACAGCTCAGGAAACTCCTGTAGATCTGTTTACACCACCATTTGTTCAAGCAGTTTCCTCGTGTAAAGAAAACTTCACTCTGAGATTCTATTCACCCTGTCCAGGGAAATGATCCCATTCAACACTGGTTTTAGGAAACTTCATGAAATGGAAAAGTAAAACTTGTCTATCATGATGAATCAATGAATTTAAAGGTCACCAGCAAGTTAGCATTGCACAAGTTGAACGAGCAAACATGACTATTTCTGAAAATTCCCATTTTGGATGACTAAAATAATAATGAGACATCTTCACAATCCCTTCTTCAGCACACATCAAGTGGTTGGCTAAACCAATCCACCACATTAGATAATTGCCTGGTAAATATATTGACCGTTCACGATGTCCAGAATTACATCATGTACTGGCAGATGAGAAACCAATACCAAAGTAGTTAAAGCTGGGAGTATGTGCTATAAATGTTAGGAGATTACAACAGCATTCAGTTCAACACATGGAAAATATTATGCTAGCTTTCATGGTGAATAGAGCAGCAAGTCGCAGAGTATGAACCAGGAAACTGCAAGCAACCAAATTATCATGGCACAGTAGCCTCCTCACCTTTTGTCTTACTTATCTGATACAGGTAGCCTTGTAAAAAAATTATGAAGAGAACAAAGAACCTCTAAAGTAGGTCAATGCCAATTCAATTTCTCAATTCTAAAATTGTCTGACGAAAGAAATTCAATGGAGATAATAGGTTAATAAATTCTGTCTTCAATTTCAGCAGGGAACTAGAACTCATTTCACATATATTCAAACTCCTGAGATGAATCTTTTATCTGATCATATAGTACAAAATATAAAGCCATAATTGCCAATATGCAAGTATATCTGGTCAAATAATGAGCACTACAATGAAAATGAAAAGTGTAATGGAACATGATTATAAAGTAGAGCCGATAGGACAAACTGTCACGTAATATGAGGACAGATGTTTCTATGCATTTTGCAATGATATCATGTTCTGCTAATGAATGGAAATTCTGTTGATATTTGTAACAGTAGCACTGCACAGGTCTGGGTTTTAAATGATTTCAACTGTATTCAAACAGCATTAACTAACCTTGACACTGAAGAGGGGACTGCTATCAGAAACCTGTTGGCCAGCTGTCACTTGAAGCCCATGAACATACCCAGTAAATGGAGCCTTCACAACATGCTATTAAAATTAAAGAAAATATCATGAAATGTTCCAGCACATCAAATAAAATGATTAAGATTTTTGTGAATTTACAACAAACCTCCATCTTCATTGCTTCGAGTACTAATATAGGCTGCCCTTCTTCTACCTTTGTTCCATCCGTCACCAGAACCTTGACCACTAAACCAGCCATGGGAGCCACCACAGTTCCTGGAGGGTGCGATGCAGTCTCAAAATTGGTCTTCTGTTGTATTTCATTATCATCAGACAAGTCAAGCTCTAACTTTTGTCTGAAATGATAATGATGTGATCCATGCCATAAATGAATGTGCTTTATTTTGTCCTGCCACCAAGTACCAGGTTTAACATCAATACCACAGGCCAATGCTCTTCCATTCTTGAATGAGGAATGCTGAATTACCAAAGCATGCTAGCTTTTCTTAATAAAAACTGGTAAATGACATTTTATTAAATGAAACAAGAAGCTCATCAGACAAATTCTTCAAGAATAAAAGCATCCCTAAAAAAATCGCACATGGTGGTAGGGATTCTAGGGAATGCTGCAAGGTAGGTTCAGAAAGCTGCAATCAAGAATACGCATAAATTAATCTACATAACACTTCAAGGGTTTTATGTAGGCACACAATTACCTTGGAATATGCAGACAAACTAACATCCATGCTCACACCATCAGTTTCAACTCTAAAATCTTGGTCATGCAGGAGTGTTGCCTTGACTTCCAAACCAGGGGAATTGACTTCTTCTGTCTGTGTTTATATGAAACAATAATCGATCGTAATTCCGGATACAGAAACAAAACATCCAGACCTTAATTGGAATTCATTACAAACACAAAAACACCTCAATAAGATAGTTCCCATCTGACTGATAAGTGATGGAGAAGGTAAAGAATTTGGAGCTGCTTCCATCATATTCATTCTCCCACTCAAGCTCCATGGTACAACTAGCTTGATGATGGGCTCGAAAAGGGGGATGAGAATACCATATGGGGAGTAACCCATTGGTCCCTGCATTTGCAGAAATATATTATGACTTAAGAGGAATCCGAAGGAACAAGTAACATCCAATGGAAAGTTGGAATGGTCCTTCAACCTACCAGGGAGACTGGACTTTATAGCAGAATGTTCCTTCTCACAAAGACATGCAGCTACCAGGGTTGCGTTGAATCTAGCATTATCATATGTTTCCTTTGCACGTGTTAAATTGTTAGGATCAGTAAAGAGGTCATCTTTATAATGTTCAATAAAGTGGGTCTCCACATTGCCATTTTCAAATGCTCTATGGTCAGCAAGTTTTTGAAGGAAATTGATATTAGTTGGCACACCTGCAACCTGACAAGCATTAAGTCCATAATATGAGTACAATGATCTCAAAGTACTATAAAGATAAATAGGTGAACCAAAAAGATAAAAACAAACTGCATTCCCAAAGAAACAAGAGGGAAGCAGGACCATAATATACATATGGAACAAGTTTCTGTTGACAACCAAAACACTTTATACATCTTTGTCTCAAAGCATAGGTACAGAATATCCAAGGGGTCCTGGCCATGTGGAACATAAATTATCTTTCAAACAAACCATCAGAGATTTTTACTTTGTAACCAAATAATTTAATTTGACTTCATAGTTCATACATAGAACTACTCTTCCAGGTCAATGCCTAGCAGTGTGATTGTAATACTATGCAAAGTTCATAAATGAGAACTGCAGCTAAAATATGATTGCAGCAAGGATGTACCTGAAATTTTGATAAGCAATTCTTCAGTTTGACTAGTGCTGCAGCACGGTTTTCTCCTGAGACAACAAGCTTTGCAATCATTGGATCGTAGTGCATGCTAACAGTATCCCCCTGCTCAACTCCAGTATCAACCCGAACTGATAATTAAAACACATCCAGTATAAGCCAAGAAAGGGGAATGCAAAAGGCTAAAATAAATCAACAAAAACACACTGCAACAAAGAAAACCCATTCACTCAAAACTGGTGGTAGACTTAAACCACTACAAGGACACATGGACTGTTCCATCCTCACTGTTTTTAAATATCAAAGAGAGCAGTGGTTGCAAAACAGGAAACCTAATTGAATAGTAGCTTCAGAAGGAAACTTTGGCCCATCAATATTTTGAAAGAAAATCAGCAAAAAGTCAGGGAAAATACCAATCACCAACAACGAAACAAGGATTCATATTCAGCATACATAAGTAACATGATTATTTTGTTGCAATTAGCACCTGTTGGTGAAACTGGAACGGGACGATAATGGTGAAGAACTCCAGTTGCAGGAAGAAATCCTTTTGGAACATTTTCAGCATATATTCGGGCTTCAAAGGCATGCCCTGTCAAGTCATGTCAAGTCACAGTGATCATTATCAGGTAAACTAACAAAGAACTCGTAAGAGTAGAGAAACTCTTCATGTGCTATCATATTAAACATGGTCTAGGAAATCAAGCTAAAATGAAGAACAGAAAGTTTTCAACTTGACATCAGATCTTAAAACAAAGGGCAATCCGATAATTTATTTCAACCTTGGTAGACCAAAACAGACACGAAACGTTGAATTTGCACTTCTTTTTCCTTGTTTAGCCTTTCATTTTATCTGTGAAAAATTGGAACACTTTTATTTTTTGCATAAAACATGAATATTTATTTGAAGAAAGAAGTGCAGATAGAACAGGGAGGATAAGACATCTTCTGCAGAAAGAAGAAAAGAACAGAACAGTTTTAGTCTTATTATACTGCACAAGTGTATGCAACCTCTTATGCTACTACCTGATTTTTTGAAGAGTGGGGACAGAATTATGCTACTGGTCTACTAGTAAATCAAAACGTGAAAATGTAATTTCACAGCAAAGAGAAATTAACTTTTTACTAGTTGGAATTATGACAGATTCTTTAAACTGCACCATTAGTTATGATAGTAGATTTTGACCATTCTATTGCAGTTCCAATCTACTAACCAGCAAAAGGAATAGAAGGATGGGCATAGTCAATGCCATGTAGAGAAAAGTGCACAGAGGTGCAATTATCATATTTCAGAAGTTGAGTACCAAGCAATATATGAGACCAAGAAGTAGCGCCGGAAAGTAATATTGCACAGACATCACACACATAAATCTTTTCCAGGGGAAAGAATTTACCCAATAAAGGCACCTGTGACTGATTAATAGGTAGTGGTTCTCCATTTGCAACAGATATTTGCCACTCTACAAGATCTTGGCCAACAATCATTTCAGTCACAGGATGCTCAACCTATAAAAGAATATCACAGCTCCCTGTCAGATTTACGCTAGGCTTGTAGGACTGGCGGCGAACCATTTATCTAGTTTTGTTTACTTTATCGTTATCTTACTTTTATTTTATTGTTATCTTTGCAAACTTATCATTCTACCTGGTGGATCTCTATGCTAATTAACTAAACTAGATAAATGGTTCTCCAACAGGAACTAAAGCCAGAAGACAGAAACGAGCAAAACAAGTACCTGAAGGCGGGTGTTCATCTCCATGAAATAGAACTGGCCTGAGACAGTGTCAACTATAAACTCCACAGTGCCAGCATTGTGGTAACCAACTGCCTTTTAATATGCGAGAGGGAATAAACATTAGCAAATATAATGAATAAAGTTAAAGAACAATGACTGCATTTAAAAGGGACGTGAAATGTTAGAGCTAAATAAGAGAGCTCGTCAGGTAGCACAACTACGATGGTCTCAAGTTCCAAAATTAATTGCACAATTATGCAAGACAAAGGGTAGATTCCTTAAAAATAGTGGCCTACATATTGCAAGCAAACAAAACTCAGAACTTCCTAAAACTCCATTTTCCAAGGCACTGGGATGTAGGATCACGGACAAAGGAGAAAATAACTTATATAGTCTTAATGGACATGTGAAGAAGCGCAACAACTATACTATGGTAGATTTAGGACACAAAAGGGTAGTCAACAATTTTCCAACTTTATAATCACCAATTCAAGTAGAAAACATATGCCCATAGGGATTCAAATATCTCATGAAGGAAATAGAACAAAACAAGTTTCTAGCAAGCAAACACGACTCCAAGGGATCCCATTTGGTGTGGGAAACTGCTGTCGGGAGAAGTATCCCTTTCTAATGTACTAAGTATCAATTTGCAATTTGGCTATTACAACATGGTCAAAAGATTTCAAATCAAAACATTCTTTGTTCCGTATTCCATAAAAGTTCATTGAACTACTTAAACCATCGAAAGAAGTAAACGCAGGTGCATTTGATTTGCGTGGTGAGGCCCATCAAAAAAATAATTTAAGGCTTCAAAAAGCCCGTCCATAACATGAAACACTATATGTTATGTATAGCATATTAAATCACAAGCTCAGGCTAGAATTTAACCCAAATAGTGCACGCCTTGTAAGGAAAACATGGGAATTACAGTTTGCCTAAGAATTTGTATTTTACTGAAAATATTGATAATGTTGAGTGAGTTCAACTGACAGGACATTACCTTGGCTGCAGATACAGCAGCCTGACCCAAGTGGGAGCGGAAGTCATTCATGACATTTGGCTGCATCAACCGATTTTTTATTACATTTGCTATAAATCTACAACAAGAAACCTCATTGAAAACTATAGAAACTGAACATTACAGCTGGCGCTTCTTCAATTATCTTCTGATGTCTTCTCTGTACGCTGCAGTCCCTTTCATATAAATGCAGCACATTGCCATGTTTGTCCCCAAATATCTATGAATTTGAGAAAAAAGATCTTACAAAAAATTCAATTACAAATGATTTATTTCATTACATGGACATGTATGTGACATAATTTGAAATTGAAATATAAGAATTCAAGAACATGTAAGCAAAAAATTGAGACATAATTTTGTAAATATAAGAACTAGGAAAGAATGCTGAAAGATTATTACATCCAATAGCCCATACCTGAACTTCTATGTGTCTTGGCTTTGTGATATATTTCTCTAGCAGTATTGTGTTTATACCAAATGAAGCAGCTGCTTCACGTTGTGCTCCCAAAAAAGAGTCAACAAATTCATTTGGACTTTGAACTATCCTCATACCCTAAAATCTGCACATTGTGAGAACCTCATCCGAAAAAATAAATAAAAATCCAACATAATAAGACGAATCATGTGTATACCTTTCTTACATTTGAATGAATTTCATGTTTCTTTTCACAAGAAAAGAACTCGATGATTTTAATTTTCATTCATCAAATGAGAGTTAACGCCGAGCATGTGCTGGACTACTGATGCATATTCCAATCAGAACTTAGTGAGTTACCATACATCCATATCTCATATATTGATGTCTTGTATACATGCATCATCAATTATATTAAGCAACTCAGATTCCTAATGTTACAGGGTAGCAATTAAAAGAATAAAATTGGCACACCTTTCCACCACCTCCATGCGTCGGCTTTATTAAGATAGGGTATCCAATCTTATCTGCTTCTGACTTCATAAGTTCAATATCTTGTTCACTGCCATGATAACCTGGCACAAGCGGCACCCCTGCTGCACCCATTATCCTCTTTGATGCACTGTTGAAATTAAAACACTGATAAACAAATTTACAGAATTTTCTGAATAATCGAAAGCATAATATTAGCTTATACAGAGAAAATGAAGGGCCAACACACTCAAACATGCATGTACAGATTGAGAGGTAAAAAACACAGTATAGAAAGAATTCATTCAAAGCCACATTCATGCTTTGGAGAACAAAAAAGAAACATGAAATTAATTAAAAGACAGAGGACTTATCATACCTTTTATCACCCATGTCCCGGATTGCCGATGCTGGTGGTCCGACAAAACTCAGACCTTTGTCTTCACATAGTGTAGCGAAATCAGAACTCTCAGATAAGAAACCATAACCCGGGTGAACAGCCTGATATTCAAAAGTAGATATCCACTTTGAAAAGCAATTCCTTGCATTTTCTTAAAAAAAGAAAAAAAATCATATCTACCTCACTGTATAACACACACAGAAAAGGAAATTATATGTTTAGGATAACTTTTCTCTCTTTTAATGAATCTGATCAGGGTTACTAGAAGCATCGTAAACTCAAAATGATAAGCTATTCTACTATCTTCCAAAATACAAAGTGCAAAAGGCCAACTCTTATGCACAGTGACCAGCCATGGTCCAAGAGCTTAAAACTCTAAAGGTAAAACGAAAAAATGATTTAAAAAAGCTCACTTTGCTAACACCATGTAAAGAGAAAAAATAAAAGTAGGGATTAACAAACGCTTCAATTTCTAAATGGAAATTATACACAAATAATAACCAAAAGAAAAGGGCTTAAGCACTCAAACATTAATAATGGTCAACGCTAGAGACTACACGGTGAAATCACCTAATGGAAGTGTTGACACAGCAATTGCAAGTCATAAATAACTACCGAAAGTCCTTTGAAATTCGAGATAGAAAAAAGAAGAAGTAATTCAAATCATAGTAAACTTAATTAGAAGCGCGATTTTAAGTAAAATTCATATACCGTTCACTAATTTCTCAGAAACCAAAACGCAGCGTTTGGATACTAACCTGTGCACCAGTACGAATCGCGGCCTCGACAATCGCCGAGCCATTCAAATAACTCAACCGAGCCGGAGGCGGACCGATATGGACAGCCTCGTCAGCCGATTTCACGTGGAGCGAGTCTCTATCCGCGTCACTGTAAACCGCAACGGTTCGAATCCCTAGGCGTTTCGCGGTCCGCATGATCCTGCAAGCTATTTCGCCTCTGTTTGCAATCAGTATTTTCTCTATGCGCGATGTAGTTTTGGTGTCGTGAGAAGAAGATTCGAGGGAGAAGAGTCGTGTTTGGATAAGGAAATGTCTGTTGTCGTGGAGTTTTCGACGGAGGATGGTTGCCATTGACGCCATGGTTAAAATTTCTCGTGGAGATGATGATTGATTGAGGGAAGCAGAGTGGTAACGTTAAAGAAAATGGCTGTAAGTGGAGGGAGGGTGTTTATGGTCATTAAAAATACGAGAGAGGGGTAGTTTTGGAAAGAGAAGTGTCTGGTATAGTGAGGTGGGATATGGATCTGATGCAGTGCTTAGCTGGGAAAGTGTAACCTTATCTTGATTGATGATCTTGATCGGGGTCGATGCATGTTATGTGTTATAATAGCGTAATGAGATAAAAGTTATTTTTTAAAATACTATTTATTTTAATATATATTAAAATAATATTTTTTTATTTTTAATATTAATATATTAAAATAATATAAATTATTAATTTAAAACTATTAAAAAATTTAAAAATCATGGTTGCACGCAGTGTGAATATATATCTCAAAGCAAATAAACAATTATTTTATATTTTTCTTCTTTTCAAGTTTTAGTTGTTTTTTATAAATAAATTAACGTATAACGAATTTTATTTTTTATTTTTTATTAAAAAAACAGTTTAGAATGTCATTTAAAAAAGTTAAGATTAACTCCAAAAACTAAATATTTTGAATTAAAAATAAGTAAAAACAACCATAATACAGAAAATAAACATTTTAGTCACCTTGAAAATCATGCTAGCTGAGCCAAATAAGTCAACCTGAAGATAACATCGTATCATGGTAAAGGATGATTATTTTTTTATTTTATTTTTATCTATAAAAATAATTAAATTTAAATTTAAATCGGTTTCAACCAACTAGTTTTGATTAATTTGATTATTTTAATTAAAAATCAAAACTCAACCAATAAGTTTTAATTTAATTTGATTCAATTCAATTACAATTACAGTTCAATTTAGTTATTTCATGTTAAAAACTAAAAATTATATTATTTTTTGGGCTTTCTAATGGGTTATTTCTGTTCCAGTTTATTTCTTACCTGAATTGATTAGGTTTAGTTTTTTTAATTTTAGGATTATAAAGCTGAAATGGAACCGAATTAAATTTTTTAAAAAATATTCTAGTTGATTTAATCTGGTTTTTTATTTAATTTTTTTAAATTTTTAAATTTAATTGATTTATAGTTGTTTATCTCAAAGAAACAGAAAAGTCCTATTCGGCCATAGTATGCCCCGGATGAGATTGGTGGCTCGCCAAGCTTTGGGTTGGTGATTTCGATTAGCCTTGCCTTGTGTTTTATCATGTCAAGACTTGGTGATGTATGAAGTAAACCGATGGTCCAATCTTGGGCCCGGTCCTACATCCGTAGTCAAGGCATTTGGTTTGGACTTTAAAGTGGGTATTAAGTCTAGGCCCGTCAAGTGTTGTTTTCTTTTTTATTTTTTTCTTTTTTTATTTTTTAAAACAATGTCGTTGAACTCTGCTTTATTCATATTGATTCCACATCATGTTATTAATCTTTATCATGAAATGATACAATGATATTTTCCATAGCCGATTAACCATATTTATCAAATTTTGACTCCGAAATAATTCATTGTTTTATATGAATATGTATGGTATTAACGCATAAACAATGGTTATTCAGTGGTTCATTTGTACCTTTTCTTTTTTAAGAAAATGACAAGTTGAAGTTAATAGAATACGAGAACAAGCCATGCATGGAGGGCTGATTGGTTTTCCAACTGTTCATTTGGTATTGTAATTTAACTATATTTTTTAAAAAATTATTTTTTATATTTTTTAATTATTTTATGTTAAAATAATTTTTTTATGTAATATTCAGGACTTTAGGCCCAACCCATGAAAATCAGGCCTTAATATCCGGGCAACAAATCCCTATAAATAATGAAAATAAAATTTAATATTTTTAATTTATTTTTTAAAAATTATTAGTTCAAATTTGATATTATTAAAAATTTATATAATTATTAACTTTAAAAATTATAGAATTAATTAAGATATATATAACTTAAACAATAAAAAAAAAATTCCAAACTTCTCTCTTTTTTTTCATTTCTCATCGAAAATGAAGTGTAATCTAATCTAACCCATAACCAGCCAACTGGGGAGGATTCATACCAAATATGGATAACTCACCAAAAACTAAAATAGATTCGGTCGATGTGGGTTGAAAAATATTACTGGCTAGCTCGAAGAACATTGGTCGGCATGCATGAGCACAACCACGTTGGCTCTGGATGAATAATTACGAGTGCCCATCATGGCGATCATCCATCCATGCACAAAATGTCAAACAAACCCATGTTCTGAAAATGGCATCCAAAACACGATAATTGCCTGCCCCATGTAACATATACAGTGTCCATGTAGATTCTTGTATGCTTCTATATATGATCCATCACGCATAAAAACAAGTCAAAGAGTTGTTAAGAAATGACATGGAGCATGGCCACCTTTTTCAACATGCATGCCGTCGAGAAATGCAGCTCATTTTTGGGAGGGGGCAATGGGGTGCTTCTCCACAGTTATTTGCTCTTTACCAAACAAAATCATGGCAATTATAGCAGGTTTGCTTTTCAGGGTTTTTAATAAAATGAGTGGTTGCCGCTGAGATCAAAATCTGTATTCAGCCTGATGGTTTTAGTGGTGATTATTTTTATTTATAAAAATAATTAAATTTAAATTTTGTAATATATATAAGTTCTCGGTTTTGCTTTGATTTAATTATTTTATATTAAAAATTAAAAATTATATTGTTTTTTGAACTTTTTAATGGGTTTTTTTCGGTTCGGTTAATTTATTAATTAAACTGGTTTGATTTAATTTTTTATTTTAGATTTATAAAATTAAAATTGAAATAAATTGATTTTTTTAAAAAAATATTATACTTAGTTTAATCAGATTTTTTTATTATTTTATTTTTTCAATTTTTTTTTTTTAGTTTTTTCAATTTAATCGACTTGTTGGTTTTTTTCTCACTTCTAATCAACCTTTTATCTCTTTTTACATGTAATATTTGGAAAGATATTCCAAAGTAACGGGGAATGAGATGGGCGAGGGAATGCACGAGTGACAGCATTTTAGTGGATGGATTTGTCTGCTAATTTTTTGGATTTTGAATCTCCTAGAAGCTCCAAGAACAAAGGAGTTCCTATTTGCCTTTCCTGCTTTCAGTCAGAGCTATGATTTCTTCTTTTCCAATTTTTGCAGGGAGGAAGAAAGTGTTGAGGTAAAGAGAGCTGGCAAAGTAGAGGGGTTCGGGGCGGGCCACTGGGCCTACAGTTTGAATCAAATAGCTTGAGAACATACCAATATATTAGTAATAAACAAACAATTGCAGTTCTTTATTTCCAGAACTTGGAACCATCCAGTGGAGGAGAAGTTTATATAAACCGACCACAAAGAAGGTGGTAAATTGAGTACTATAAAAGAAACTTTTTAAAATGTGTTTTACTTAAAAATATATTAAAATAATATTATTTTATTTTAAAAAAATTGTTTTTAATATTAGCACATGATTTAAAAACACTAAAAAATATTAATTTAAAATAAAAAAATTTCAATTTTTTTTAACAAAAACAAATAAGTTCAGGAAACAAGAACAGGGATTGAAAAAACAGCATGTGTGGATGGTTGATGCTAGTTTGTATGGCCGCTATAAATCGTGGAAGAGCTAAAAAAAAAATTAAAGTAAAAAAAAGTTACAGGTCTTCATTTTAATATTGTCATTGAACTTATAAATATATTCATTAATAATTTATTTATTTATTTAATTTTATTATGCACTTCATCATGGACGTTTTAGTTTGAATTTGGTTGTTTATTATTTATTTTTTTCAAAGATAAGAAATTTCATTATTATTCATGAAAAAAAAAAATCTATTCGCTCTCCATTAAAGAAGACTCCTCGTTGTAGTCTTTAAATTTCCCCTCTGTGCAGCTAAGCGAGCACGGCTAATGATTCAGTACCGAAGGTAATCGTAACTCCTATGGAAAAGTCAATAATAGTGTTTTCTTTTTCTTTTTCTTTTTCCTTTTCTTTTCTTTTTCTTTGCAGAAAAGCCAGCGATAGATAGCTTCTACGGCAGGGGCAAAACCAGCATCAATGATATGCAAGGGACCGGGTAAAGTCTTAGAAGTCACCTTAGCTATTCTGGCCCCTCTCCCTCTCACCGATTGCTACATTTCCCTTTCTTATTTATTTCTCATCATTGTTCTCTATCAAAAGAAAAGCTTTGGCCCTTTTCATCTGATTAAAAACAAAAAAGTTGCTTCAATTTTGTTTTCTAACTAAGCTATTTCATGTGTTTTGTATAATGGTATAATATGCTTTTTTAAAATTATTTTTTATTTAAAAATATATCAAAATAATTATTTTTTAATTTTAAACGTCAACATATAAAAATTATTTTAAAATCTAAAATATATATTAAATTAATATTTTTTTAAAAATCCAGCACAGTTCACAACATAAAAACAAACAAACAACCAAAAATTCAACCACCCTTGTTCAATAATTTGATTTTAATCAATGTCTTTTCGGTAGACGAGTCCAAAGAACAATGCTTCCTAATGCTACATTCCTATGTTTGTCCATCTCCCCTTGCATTAAAAAAATAACTCAGATTATTATTATTATTATTATAATTGTAATAAGACGGGAATTAATTAATTGCTGACGATGTTTCTGTTCAAGGCCATGTAATTTTATAAATCGCACTTGCGGCCGGTTTTTATTCCTTTCTTGATTTTAGCTGGGCCGAATTCAAATTTCTGTTTACTGACGGGGGGCCCACATCCAAATTAAATTAGTTGAGCAAACTATTATCATGGAACCATATGGATCAATCATAACACCTCACCGGCTAGATGCCTTTTTCCACACATCCAAGAAGTGGTATGATTCAGACCGTGCGTGTTTGCTCTTCCACATTCATACCTCCACGAACTTTTGATACTCCCCCACAGAAATGGACCTGCTGGCTCGTTGCTGCGTGCTGCAACCCTCCCTGCGTCTTATGATGATTAACACCAGTGCACTGTATTCTTACAGTAAAAGCACTGTACTCTTATAAATATAAGAACGTTATTAAAAAACAAAAAACAACTAAGAGGGTTTGAAATGACATCAATTTTTTTTATATTAAATTTTTTTATTATTTTTTAATCTAATATTAAGTTTATTAAAATTAAAATTTTATAATTTTATATGTTTTTTCTCTATATAATTATCATAATCTCATAATATAGATTGTAGGTCGGATGGGTTAGCCCTGGTT